AGTGGATGCTGATCCATATGAAGATGAGGGGGCGAATGGGAGGAATTGAGGAACTCTAGATAGGGCAAAGGGGAGGGAGAGAAAGAGACAGACATGGGAGTAGGAAAGATGGTGGAATGAGATGGACATCGTGGCCCTAAGTACATGCATGAAGACAGCAATGGTGTGACTCTACATTGTGAACAACCAGAGGCATTGTGTACTATGAATTGAAATGCACTCTACTCTCATGTATAACAAATTAGAGTAAATAAATAAATTTTAAAAGACTCCACTTGACTCTTTCCGTCCTGTGGAGAGTAAACCCTCCTGGTTAGAACCCAGGAGCAACCGGGCTGTGGACTGTGTGGGGTCACTGACATTAAATTTGTTATCATCTGCATTGTCCCTCATGTATGGCAACACAGGGCACAAAGAGTCCCCTGGCTTGTCACCCAAGTGGAAGCCTGAGGTGGGAAGGAAGAGGGACTAGTATTCTTTGCTTTGTCCAATAAAATAAGTAATAGACTGTCCCCTTTTACTTTCAAAGTCCCCATTGTCCTGAGCCCGTGCAAGGAGTTTGGGGAAAAGTTTAACTCTTGATTTCTCTAATTTCAAAAATCAATAAGACCTTTCACAAAACATTTACCATTTTATACTTTCCATTTGCTTCTGTAAATACATTTTTTCACACTTGTACCAGACCACTAGACCCAGAAGCTCTTGAAGGCGAGATCAGAGTGTCTCCGTATTCTTTAAAAACACCTACTACGATTTTTGATGCAGAAGGTATTTGACAGCCATTGTCACAGTCAGAATATGAATGACAATGGCTCTATTAGTTGTTAAGGACAGCAAAATAGCACAGTACCACAAGCTCAGTGGCTTAACCCAAAGAAACAGGCCTCAGTTCTGCAGGCTGAAAGCCCAAGCCAGGGAGTCGGCAGGGTGGGTTCCTTCTGAGACTGGGAGGGAAGAGCCTGCTCTAGACCTGACCCTTCACTGGCAGAGGCCATTTTTCCCTTGTCCCTCTTCATGTCACCTTCTCTCTGTACACGTCTCTCAGTAGAAGTTTCACTTTTGTGTAAGAAAACAGTCATTCCAACTAAGGCCAACTCTAATGACAACACTTTAACTTAGTTACCTCCCTAAAGATTGTCACCAAATAAGGTCACATTTTGGGATACTAGGGGCTAGGGATTTCATATGTAAATCTTGGAAGGAGTCTCTAAGATTCCATATGCCCTTCTTTTTTCCTTTCATTGTCCACTTATCAGAAATGTCCTAGGCAAGACTATCATAATAGAACTTCCTTCATAAGGAAGATATTTTCTGAGCTCTTCCATGTGGTAGTCTGGACCTTACGTGACCATTGAGCACTTAAAATGTGGCTACTGTGGCTGAGGGTTTTAATTTTCAATTTATGTTAAATTTTCTTATTAATTTAAGTTTAAGTAGCTACCACATTGGACAGCACAGATCTAAAGATTGGGAGGTTGAAGTAGCTCATCAAAAATGAAGATTTTGTATTCTGTGATTTGCAATAGATGCATCCTATGTGAATTCAGACTTACATGATTTTTAATATTGGATATTAAGTATGAGGACTGTGAACCCCTTGAGGGATATGAATGAGAGGAGGCAGGAAATGGAGGTTATACCATAGGGGCCAGGTGGTGGGTGATCCAAGCAGGTGACCTGCCTGGAAGAAACCCTGGGGTACTGCTCCCTCAGTGGTGGCACCTGGGCTCTTAGTCTGGCCAAATGCTGGCCTTAGGGAGGACAGTCCCAGTATTGTTGATTTTCTTAAAAAAAGAAAGAAAAAAACCCTGGAAATATAGATTTCCATGTGGACTCTCTTAATTTTTTTTTTTTAATTTGGCAACTAACAGTATTCTTCAGGCTGTCTAAATCTAGTTAAAGCAAACACCATTGAAATTTTCTGTTGGCAAGAAATAGTCTTGAGTCTCCCAGTTTTCAAGGTCTATTTTGAAACAGAAACCTCATGGAGAGTTCCTTTGAAGGATTTTCCTTGATTGATCTTATGAATCGAACATTCCAAAACTCTCAGAAAACATCAAGTATTAAACATTACCTGCAAATCACGAGGCCTTTTTAGATATTCCAATTCATAGAGCACAACGAGAGACATTTGAGATGAAGGAATGGTGAATTTTAGGTTCAGCTTACTTCCAGAAGCTTCCAAAATCTGCACCCCGTGGTGATGTTCCCAGGACTGACAGATGCATTCCTGTCTCTCATCTTTTTCACATCAATTTAGTTCAGAGAACAAGAGAAAGTGTCATCTTAAGGGAGATTGGCAGCTGCCAGCTTTGCAGATGCTCAGATCTCTTTGACACACAGGAGTTCTTTAAAAACTCATAGGGTGATAAGTTGATTAAGTTTATCTCCTATGAAAACATTTGTTTTCACTTATTTTTTTAAATTCATAAAGTTAACTAACCTTCTAGCATTCCCTGAGTACCTGCTTCATGCCATGTCATTGACAACATGCTAGGCACAGCACACAGGCCAGGTGGGACATGATCGCTGAAAGCTGAGCACAGCTGAAGTGGATGGGGCGCACAGGTCCCTGGAGGCATTGGCCCCATGATAAGAAGTGCTGGGGAACAGCAGCACCGAGTGCTGGGAGGCCTGGAGACCGAGGCTCCGAGTGTCGTGTTCAGAGTGAGTGGGGGTGATGGAGTTAAAATCTCAGAGCGGATGCAGGAGGGTGAGGCAGGCAGGAAAGGGTGTGAAGGCCTGGGGGAGGGGACTTGGCAGTGTCTGGGAGCTGAATTGGACTGTTTTTGCTGACCGTAGTGGAGAGGAAGGAGAGGGCCCTACTGAGGCTGACCAGGTTGTATGGGAAGAGGATGCTCTAAGATACACTCTGTGGCCCAAACAGCAGGCCCTATGAGGCCCCTGGAGGGGGTGGGAGGGAAGAACAGGGCTCCTGTCTAGGAAATCTAAGTCAGAGCTATTTCTCCGTGAAGTTTAGAACTTTGTGCAAAACCCAAGACACCAGCGCAAACTTCCCCTGTGCTTGGATAATTGACATTTCATGGTGGGTTCTCAACAGGGACAGTTTTGCTCCCTCTTCCCCATGTGTGGCAATGTCGGCAGACATTTTGGTGTCGTGCTGGGGCTGGGGCCACAGCTGGCATCTGGTGGGAAGAGTCCAGAGATGCTGTTGAGCAGCCTGCAAATGCACAGAGCAGCTCCCTGCCCCCAGCCAGCACACAGTGGCAGAGAATCGTCGGTTCCAGAACATCAGCAATGCCAAGGTTATGAAACCTGTGTTGAAGCTAACATCAAAGGAAGCTGTCATTAATGGGACACAGGAACAACAGCAGGCAAGGGTGTCAAGAAGTGGGGAGCCGGGGGCAGTGGCTCAGGTTTATCACGAACTGTGCAAACATGAAATGATATTAAAGTACAAAAATTATGTTTGGAACTATTTGCTTCTTTCTTCTTAATCTATCAACTGTACTAATGGTGTCTTCCAAACATCTAGCCTTGGCTGATCAGTCTTCTCACCATGACTGGGTGTCTGCTCCACATAAAAATAAGTGTTTAAATTATTGGTGAATAAATAAATGGATATAGACATTTCTACACAATGAAATTTTGTGTAATTGCAGTAACTATTGAGCTGCTAATTTGTTCAAGGCACTTTCTGTGCTTTGATCTAATCCTGACAAAGCTGTGTAGGGAAATTATTAGCTATAACTTACGGAGGAAGAGACAGAGCTTTGCCCAAAGTCAAATAACAGGAGACTCTCTTCGATACCACTGTCTGTCCCCTTTCTTTGCTCTCAAAGTCATTTTGCCACAAGAATCAGATGTAAACTAAATTTAATTTGTATCCATCCGTAGAATCAGATGTAACTGCATTTATGAGAAATGTAGACAAGAGAGATCAAAAGTCTCAACTTCCGTTTTAATGCATGTTAATCAAACCCAAGGCTAGTGGATTGATTCCCAGGATATTGGAGGTCCAGATTCTCTCTACTGTATTTTATCTTTCACAGAACTTAGTTGCTAGTCTCAATGTTGCCTCATGGTCCATTGTATCAGCTAGGGTGCCAACCATCACACCAGCCAGAAATATTAAGGAAGGGTAACCTAGAGCTATGGGTCAACCCTCCTACTTGATTCAGTGTGTGCGTTGGTATGGCCACTGGAATTTCCACCCAACTGCTTTGCCTTACATGTCTTTGACCTCTCCTCTACAAAGAAACCTCAAAAATACCACTTTTGTGACTAAGAGCACACGGCATATACTGAAGAGGAGTTCTGCCACCTTTCCTACACCCCAGCAGCAGCTGGCACACTCAGACGGAAGCTTAGCTGTTCCTCAAGTGATGGAAACCCCCCCAAAGAGAAAGCAGTGTGACAGGTAGTGGCTGTGCCTTGATGTGTCGGGGCTCATAAAGCCCTTTAGGACGCCACACTGCCTCCTCACAGCTAGATTTCAACTAGGAGGTCTTCACCCACCTGTTGTGGCCATCTCTGCTCACCAAGGCCGGACCTGCCCTCCTCCTGCACCTCTTCTCTTTGACACCCTTCCAGCTCCTCCTTTGTCCTTCCATCTTTTGCTTCTGGTCTGCTTCCATGTCTTTTTTTGTACACGGAGATTCTATGAAGTGTTGCATGGAAAGCTGTCAGATGCTCCTCGTCCACCTGTCCTTCTTATCCTTTATTACTGCAGCTTGTGGAAATCTGACCTTCATCCTTCATCCACCTGTCCTGCCCCACCTTGAAGGATTATAGCCACAATCTAGGCTGACTCTAAGGCAGCTGGGAGGCAGATCTCCCGGAGTTCTCTATTTATCAGCCTTTCATTCATTCCTTTTTATTTCCATCTTTATTGAACCTCTACCATATGACAGGCTTTTTAATATGCTCAGCAAGTTCTCTATGGAATAAAATAGATAATTTGTTTCTTGTGATGCTTTAATTTTTTAATGGAGAGAATTCACAGAAATCTTGTTACCATCATTTATTCATAATCACAGATTTTGATGAGAATCACAAAAGAAAGGGCGATGGGAGAACATAAAACAGGAAGTCTGCAGGATCCAGGGAACGCTTCCCAAGGAAATGACTGATGAAAGGGATGAGGAGAATGGAGTTACACACTAAAGATGAAGCGGAGCATCCCAGCAGAGGTAAGGAAGAGGTGCCAGCACTGTGAGGTGGGAACCCGCCCAGTGGAGAATGGTCAGTCTGAGCTGCTCATTATTCTTAGCTCACAAAAGTCTCTGCCTCAGAGAAGTCATATTAGAGTGAAGTGTATTAACACTGCACACAGACCAGTAAGGTGCTTCTCAATACTAATCAGCTGAATGGAGAAGTAGGGTATTTGTTTGGAGAAAAGAGTGAGTTGGAAGCTGGGTGCCGTGTCCTATGCCTGTAATCCCAGGGGCTGGGGAGGCTGAGGCAGGCTGATCATGAGTTCAAAGCCAGCCTCAGCAAAAACGAGGCACTAAACAACTCAGGGAGACCCTGTGTCTAAATAAAATACAAAATAGAGCTGGGGGTGTGGCTCAGTGGTCAAGTGCCCCTGAGTTCAATTCCTGGTACCAAAAAAAAAAAAAAAAAAAGAGTAAATTGGAGTTCTGAGAAGGCTAGTGGTGCTGGAGAGATCAACGGGAGAATGGAGGAAGATGAATTCCGGGCAGTAGTTCTCACCAGGGCATTTGGGTCTTGAAGTAATGGTAAAGCTTTGCAGAATCACTGGGGGCCCCTCGGGGTGTTGTTAGTAGGACAATGTCATAGACTGATTCACACCTTGGAAGGATCACTTTGTTCACAGAATAAATAATAGTAAGGGGTCAAGGTGAAAGAGAGGACGCCGTCCAGGTGGCTGGTGTCAGTCAAGGTCGGACAGTGGCTTGAACAAGGTTTCTTATCAGAGGTGGTCCGAGATGGTCATATCTGGAACATTTTTCCCAGATCTATGAATAGGACCCATGATGGGACTGAGCAAAGATAGAGGTAAGAAGAATCCTCAGTGTTCCTTGTCTGCAAGGGAAGTAGCTGTGGCTGCTCACTGTGAAGGCAAAGAGTTGGTGGCAGCGGTTGGGGTGGATGGGAGCAGTGATAGTTTTTCTGTGGACAGGTTACGTTGAGAACATTCTAGTGGGAAAGCTGGTTTGGTGACTTTAGATTTGAGTCTGAAGCTCAGCAGGGGATGCACATGAGTCGTAGCTGTAGGTTCAGAGACTGGCAAGTGACCTGGGGAGGGAAGGCTGATGCCAACCCCGAGGAAGCACACTAGCCTTATTTAGTGATCTGAGGAAATAATCCACCTCTTTAAATCTTGTTTTCCTCACCATAAAATGGAAGACGTGACCACTGATCACAGAACATGGGAACGACTCCGTGGGACATTTCACATTGTCCTCACTAGTACCTTGCCCGTGATTGCTCTCCCTATACCTCCCCTCCAGCGTCTGCACTCTCCTGGGTCAGGCAGCACGAGATCTCCAGCAGGGAGATGTTGATCATCCAGGGACCGATTTCAATGGTAACTTAATAGATTAAAGGACATTTTTGGGTTTCCGTACATTATGAAGTCTTGAATGAATCTTAGGTTAAACGTGTGAAATACATAGTGTACGGTCTGCACCTTGACATCTCCAAATGTTTTGCAAGCAACGTGCAGCAGCTTTCTTGGGCTTCAAAAGCTTCAGAAAAACCCACTGCCTCTGAAGTGATGTGAGAAGGGTTGATGGAACTGGAAACAGAAAGGGGTTCAGGCCCATTGCGATGCCGTGTGTGAGATAAAGGATTTCTTCAGAAAGAGTCTCCCCCAAACCTTCATGAAGTCAGTTTCCTTTTTATTTCCCCTAATCTCTTCCCCAAACCTGGTTGGTTCACATGGGCTTAGATGCTAACCCGGCTCCCCATCCTTTGCCTCACACCCCAAATTCTATCATTCGATCTTGCTCAAAATTTGGATTCTTGCCTACAGCAGTCTCCGCCCAGAAAACCTAATGAGCAAGCAGCGTGATGAACCAAACAAAGCACACTGCATAAATCTATACATCTCCTGCTTTGCTGAAATTTAAATGTTTAAAATTTAAACATTTGGGAGGAATAAAAAAGAATTATTCCCCATATGCAAGAACCAATTGGTTCTAAGGGATCCAAACAGGTTGTAAAAACTGCTGGGAACTGGTTCCAGGAGGAGCAATCTGAGTGATAATGAGACATTGTTCCATAAAAGAGGGATGATTAGACAATTGTGGCGGTGTAAAAACTCATTGGCAAGGCAATTTGTTCTCAGTTGGAACAAGGCTATCCTTAAGTTGCTTTCCCCCCCTCACCAGATCCCAAAGAATGTTACATAACCCAGTGTTATTACTGAAGTTTATTCTGTCCACAGAGTGGGAGATAAGTGAAAAGTTGGAAGCTTAAGAGGGAGATTTTTTCACTTCATAAAAGAAGGGAGGCTCAATTGGACTGCTAGAAAGATTCCTTCTGTCCAGTGGGGTGTGCACTGTCAAATTGCAACTCACAGTGAAAGCCACGCAACAGAGAAGTTTCTGTGATCTACAGCATTGCACCAGGGACTAGCCCAGGCTGGCACAGATAGATGTGTCTGCCCTCTGCACAGGAAAGTAGAAGTTGTTTACCTCACAAAGCCTGGATCACATGAAGAATGTATCAGAGGAAGCAAGAATCACAGCTAGATGAAGCTATGATTGATGATAATTGAAGTTGAGCATAGGGAAAAATTACCAGCCTGTATCGTAGCGTTCATATTTCTATAAATCTTTTTCTAAATTGTGATGTATCACTTATATATTCTAGTAATGAACAGACAGATAATTTATATTATGCCCTTAATGCAAAGATATCTTTTTCAGGGAAACAGAGACTGGTTCTGGAGCTGGGCTACTCAGACCTGCTTAGCCTTACTTTTGGGCCTGGGAAATTGGACTGAAGATACCACACTTTGTTTCATGAGAGTTTTCCAACTTGTGTCTTGGAAAAATATGTTTCTTCTAGATAGGACGTGCAAACCTTAATAAACCTAAATCCCATCGACCGTCTCAGCCAGCTAGAGCAACGGAAAGCAGTACAGTAGAGCTGCAGTACTCCAACTATGATCTGTGGACAGACGTCAATGAGAAAAGCACAGAAAAATTGAAAGCAAGCCTTTAGAGACTCCTAGGTCAATTTGATGTTGCCATGATTTCTAAGTTGTCACATGAACTGGGACCATGCAGCACCTGCAAGGTTTGAAAACTTAAAACAAAACAAAACAAACAAACAGCAACAACAACAAAAAAAAAACCCAGCAAACAAAATCCTGGCCCTTCATCAGAGAGTGTCAGAAGAACCAAGTGCTATGTGCTGTTTGTTAGCTGTATGACTCCAAGGAAGCAAATCACCCTCTCTGAGCTTTAGTGGCCTTCCTAGAGCAGGAGCTTAGGAAATGTTTAACCTCTCCAGTTGTTTGTGTGATTATTAAATGAGGCGATTTATTTAAAGCATCTGCTTCTCAATAAACAATTCTTAGTTCTAGTTGCTCAACTTGTGCTTATAAAAATCATTTGATCATGACAAAAACTAAGTCAGATAGAAAGGATCCTGAATGTGTACATCAGTCAAATGAGAAGAAACTCACATTGTGCATTTTAGTCCCAGCCCTCGTCCCTGAGGAGTCGGACACATACCTCCGATGTCTTTTTATTAATATCTCATTTAGCCAACATTCTATCACAGAAGCCGGTCTATCCCCCATGAGCTGCACTTTAATTTTTCTATTAGCTTATTAATGGGATTGGGGAGATGGATATCATTTAATGAGACATTTCTCTGTCCCTATGAAAAGCGCGACAGTCATAAATTAAAGAGGCCACACATTTGCATCCGGCTGAGGAGGTCATCGGCTGCCTCTGATGAGATGATTTGTAATCCTAAGTGTCCCGTTGCTCGAGGTCTGGGAAGTGAGGAAGAGAGAAAGATAAACTGATGTAGGGGAGGAAAAGGGAGGAGGCAGAGCCTGTGTGGGGAATGCAGAGAGGAGCTGGCCCCTGGTCTCATGTGAGGAGGCCGGGGGCAGCCAGGCAGAGCAGCAGCCGGGTTCTGGGGTCAGGGGTTTCAACGGGGCACTGTTCTCATCTCGAAAGAAATGGTGAACGAGGAAAGGACGGGGACTTTTAATACAAGAATGTCCAACCGAGATCCTGGGGCTTTCTGGGGACATCAGGAAAAGCCTCAGGGAGGGTGTGCCTGTCTTAGGTCAGTGCCCTTCAAGAGATCCTGCGTAGGGACTCACTTAGGATGCACTCTTAGGGGAGTGCAGGGATGCAGACCAGGGCAGGGGAGGCAGCTATGCAAAGACATGACTTCAGACTGTCCCGGAGTCCTCGTGGTCATTCCCTCTCCTTGGGGGACCACTGGCCGTGAGTGGGGGAGGACTGTGTCATGGCCTCCTCCTCGTCTCTGGAGGAAGCTGCTCCTGAAGAGCTCTCTGGAAGGAAGTGGTTAGCAGCCGAGGCCTGCGGCAGGCAGGTGAGTTCACCAGCCCTTCCGTGGAATTGGGTGGGGTGTTCGCAGCACCTGCTGTGCGGGCATTTGAGGTGATTCTTTTTCTGTAATGGGATGGAGGAAGACATAGCATTCCACAGAGAAGGAAAACACGTGCAAAGGCCCACGGCAGTTGGTGGGACTGGTTGGCCATAGTGGGTCAAGCATTCAGGTGCACTAGCTTATTAATGGGATTGGGGAGATGGATATCATTTAATGAGACATTTCTCTGTTCCTATGAAAAGCGCGACAGTCATTCAGGTGCCAAGCATTCAGGTGCATGAGCTGGGAGTGTGGGGTACACCACTGAGCACATGACCTGCAACATATTAACTTCCAACAAATGTTAACGATTATAGGGGCTGGGGTTGTGGCTCAGTAGTAGGGCACTCGCCTAGCACGGGCGAGGCGCTGGGTTCAATCCTCAGCACCACGTAAAAATAAATAAATAAAGTAAAGGCATTAAAAAATGTTCATGATCATAAAGCTGGGAGTGTCGACTGATTTTGAACAGCTTGAATTCTGCTCCAAGGTGTTTGGATTTTATACAGAAATGATGATGGTGGTGACGATGATGATGGTGATGATAATATAACACTAGCAGCATCAGAAGCAATTAGAACTAGGATGTGAAATGCGTCCAATAGACACCTTTAAGAAAGTAGGAGTCTTTCGTCTGTGCTCGAGGAGGATATTTTGTTCAGCCCCGTGGAAGTGGATCAGTGCTAGTGAGAGAATGAGAACCAGCTGGGAGGCCACTTGAAAAAGCCTAGGTAAGAGACAGGGTGGCTTTGAACTTGGTGAAAACTATGGGCCAGGAAGGGAGTGAGCCAAGAGCAGGACAATGCCAGGAAGGGCCCACAGCGTCAGGGCTCAAATTGCAAGTGCGGGTGACCCAAAGGAGCCCTTCCAAATGCTCGTGTCGGGAACTGGGTGGAGAGTGGGATTTTGCTCTGGGTTCAGCCTTTTAGCCGGAAAGTAGCTTCTTAAGATGCAGCTGATTCCTGATTCGATGATCTTGCAAGTGAGCCTCCTCTGTTGCTTTCTTTGAGTTTCTGTGCACTCTCATTCATACAAAGGAGGAACACAGGCACAGTCCACTCTTGTCATCCGCTAGAAGAGTTTTTCGATGAAACTCTCCAGCATAGTATAATTGCTGTTTCTGCCAAAAGCCCATCTCTATGCAGAGTGACATTGGCTACCCTCCCCTATGGAAATGGGGGGAACCTGCTGATTTAAGTTGGTATCAGAAAGGCCTCTGGTGCAGCCCTGCTCTGGAGAAAATCAATAGACATATCTCAATAGATAAATACAAATACAACAGCCTGCTCCACTGGGCTGTTTACAACTGTCTTCCGAAGTAAAATGGTAAAAGAAAGACTCGTTCCCTCTAGATCAGACTGAGTTAGGTTTAATGGTGTGGCAGCTCTTCCAGCTCCACCATTTTGGTTGTGACACCCCAAAAGATGTTAAGAACAGAAGGTAATAGTCCCAACATTTGAGGAACAGTCTCTCTGAGGCAGGCACCATGTTTAACCACTCCATGTGTGACATCTTATTTAGATGTTATAGTGGCCACCTGTGGCAGCTACTATTACAATCCCAATGTTATAGACGGTGAGACTGAGGATTGACAAAGTCAAAGAGAAAAGGAGGTGGGGGAAGTACTGTGATGAGCACCCCCACGTGCCTGGTTCTCAACTCCGTGAATTCTGTCCCTGTTTCTTCTTCTCGCTCGTCTTTAATGACATCGATCTTTTGACATTCAAAACAAATGCCCACCTGGTCATTAAATAGCCACACCTGGTCATGGAAAGCTCTCTCTGTTTTCTCCTCTCTCTAGTAGCCAGTGAACTAACATGATGTTCAGTCCTCCCATGGACCCTGGGGACATGATCCTCTGCCCTTCTCTACCATCCTCTGCTGGTTCAGTGCGAGGGATTCACATCCCCAATCACAGTCAGAGCATGAATCGTGGCAGCTGTTTCATGCTTCTGTGTCTCCACCACAAGATCCATCAACAGGCCAACACAGCAAGGGCCAAGAAATAGATATTGTTCTCTTGAATCAAATTTTTATGAAGTAACTGAAATGGAGCTCTACAAATCTCTTTGCCTGTACTTTTCTCACTGTTGAATGTCGACAAGCACTTAGGCTAGAAGAATTCTTAGTTCATTGAGAAATAACTAACAACATTTGGAAAATGGCATCATATGTCGTGTGATATGTATGGACTTAAAATGTTATACACTCAATTAAAATATTTAGATACACGTGTCTTGATAAGGCTATATGTACACTTATGTTACGATTTGACCTGTGATACATGTCTATTAGGAGCTAAGCACTTTACTGGGAACTGTGACATGGCAACAACCTGTTGGGGATGCAAATCAAGTCAAGATGTCGCCTGGCACTTTGCCAGGAGGAGAGGTTTGTGAAGCAACGCCAGTGAGCCATTAATGGTGAGGATTCCTTATTGGATGACTGCTGTATCTAGATGATGTTAATTGAGTCAAGCTGTGTGTAGTCAGTTAGGTATATATACCTCTGCTGTCCCTCAATAAGGCAGTTCTGCTACCTTAGGAGCCCGCTACTTTGAGTTTTCTATCAGTTCCCGCTGAGTTCACTTGCAATAAAGCAGTTCCCGCTTCAACCTTCAAGTTGCTTGTCACCTCTCAGTTATTTTGCCCAGCTGGACTGTGGCAGCAACCAAGCATAATGTCATTTTTATGGGACTTTTCATCTAAAAGTGCCGCAGTCCAGCTGCAGCAAAATAACCGGGGGGTGAAGAGCAACTTGTGTACATTGATACAGCAGGAGACGGAGCCGTTTATTGTAGGACAGGAGGGGTATATATACATTCCACACAGCTTATCTTAACTAACATAAACTAGATACAGCAGTCAACCAATAAGGAATCTCCACACTTAATGGCTCGCTGGCGTTACTTCACAAACCACTCCCCCTGGCAAAATGCCAGGCGCCATCTTGACATGTTTACAGACCCTAACATAAAATGACACAGACCAAGTAGATAATTGCATATCTGTACCATTTTAGAATTTACTCATGAGAATCCAGCTGTGGTGGCTCATGCCTGCCTGTAATCCCAGTGACTGGGGAGGCTGAGGTAAGAGGATTTCAAGTTGGAGGTCAGCCTCAGCAACTTAGCAAGACTGTGTGTCAAAAATAAAAGGGCTGGGGATGTAGCTCAGTGGTAAAGCATCCCCGGGTTCATTCCCCAGTAGTTCCTCCTTGGGAAAAATAAATAAACTACACATGACAAATTAACGTGTTGGTACACATATTGTGTTAGATAAATACAAACCCACCTAGATATATGGAATATATAATACATTTTTATTCTATGCATTTGAAAACACTTACTAAAATATTTGCTATAATATAAGATCATCCATCGTGGTACCATATTTTGGTTTTGGAGAAAAAAAGACATTATAGAGTAAAATCAGAAAGATGTGCACCGCTTCCCAAAATTGAACTTCCACACGAGTTCATTTGCACCATAGCCCCAGCAGTTGCTAGGAAGGAACTTTAACCTCATTTAACCTCCACTTAATGTCACTTATAATATAGATAACAATGATGTCCACCTCTTAGAGTTCCATACGGATTAAAAAACACACTGAATGCTAAAAGCTTGATTCAGGCACACACTGGAAGTCCTCATCCCGTCCACTATTATTATTAAGGAGGGGTGTGGGGAATAGCAGCCAGCAGTGGTTTCTGTCTGATGGCTTT